TGGAGGAGGGACCAGCTAATGAAGACTGGAGCAAATAAGCTCAGTGAAGTTGGTTTCTCTCCATACAATTGAGAACTTATTGTTGTTTACTAGTGGAATTTTCATAGTTCAAGGATGCATGTGATAGTACTATAATATTATCAACTACACTGCCGATTTCAAATTTGCTCTTCACTAGGAGTTCTGAGTGCAGGCAAAGCATAAGTTTTTTAATTTTTGCATGGGTTCTTGGGCAAAATGTCCACTGATTTCGATGAGAGTTTTGGGTAAGGACTCAAGGAGTTGATCTGGCACAATTAATAATGTTTACTTCTCTGCTGTATTTAACTCTGACAGACCAAATGGATTGGGTCTCATCGCTGTAATAAAGAAAAAAAAATGTGACTGACACCTTTTTTTTTTTCTTTCAGGAAACAGATTTTGTTTGTTTTGATGATGGAAGGGATGATTTTGATAATTATAATGTAGATGAACTTTTGAAGTCATCAGGAGAGCCTATAACAAATGAAGGTGAAACAGAATCAAGTGATTCAGGGACAAAACTGGCTGAAAGAATCAAAAGAGATGAAGAGATGGAAGAGGTTGATCCAACAAACTCCCTCGATGCTTTGGAGATGGACAATCCTGAGCTAAGCACAGAGGAAGATGAGAAAGTTCCATCTTTACCAGAGGAAACAGACAGTCCTTTTACAGAAGGAACTGAAACTACTGAGGGAGACCTCAATGTAAATAGCCATGAAGTGAACTCTCAGGGAGATCACATTGCACATAAGCACTTAAAAGGAATGCTACATGCAAAACTAAAAGGGCTAGAAAGTGAAAGTACCAAAAACACTAGTATTCCTCAGGATGAAACCACTCAACTTGAAAAAGAGAATGAAGAAGTTGATGCCTATACACTTTTAAACAGAGAGCTGTCTGTGAACTTGAAAACAAAATTTGGCTCCACGGCTGATGCGGTTGTATCTGATGATGAGGTGACTCGGCTTGTTACATCATTGGAAGATGATTTTAATGAAGATTTGAGCATTGAGGAGGAAGAAAACTTTGTAGATCAGTCTGAGGAAATCCCTTTGCTGTCATTTACGGCAGATGACGAAGTTGCAACCCTAGCCGATTCAGAAGCTGATAAGCCACAAAGTAAACTTGATGAAAATGAGAAGGGTGCTACAGAGCTAAATAACCAAAAAGATGATGAGCAAAAATATGGTTCAGATGCATTAATTTTTGAGCGTGCCTTCAGTAAGAGCAGGAGGTCAGGCAACAATATAAATGTGGATAGGTCTGAATCTGTAGAGGAAAAGGAAAAACAGGATGAGGTAATGCTAATTAGTAAAAACAAAATAGCAGCAACATCCCAACTTGAGGATCTCTCCAAAGAAAGCCTTAAAAAGGAACCTGTAGTTGTAGGTGATCCTAGTTCCAAGGGAAAAACAAATAAAACTGAACAGTCTGAAAAACAGCTCATGGATGGTGGGACTGAATCACATACGAATGTGCAGAAGAGTACATCTGTGCCCGATTCTCATGTTTTCCCTAGTCCAGGAGATGAATCATCTTTTAAAGGAAAGCAAGATGCTTTAAAACCATCCCTTGGTGACATCACTGGAAGTCCAGAAGGAGTGCCACTTACTGATACAACTGAAAAAGATGAAAACACTGAGGATGAGAACCTGGAAGAGGACACCTTGGAAAGGGATTTAAAGCATAAAATGTTATGGGAGAAAAGGGAGAAGGGAAGAGCAGAGGCAAAATCTTCTGATGATGTTCCAGCCAAACCAATGGAAGAGGTACAAAATGCATCTCAAAATGACTTGAGACACACTAACCTCTCAAAAGACAAAACAGAGCATGGAACGCCTGCCGTGGAGAAAGAAGTTCTGAGTTATGAAGGAGATTTAAAACAAGTAGGGGAGGCTGATCAAGAAATTGAAAAAAATACCCCTTTTAAAGAACCTAAAATAAAAAGCGTAAACATGAAAGCAAGCCCTACAGGGGAAGAAGGCCTAAACCTTGAGAGTTGGGAAGCAGTGAAGGGATCCAGGCCAGGGGAAAATGAGACTGAGTATTCAGAGGAAGATGTGAAAGAAGAGTTTTCAAGAAATCTTGGCAAGGCGACAATACTTGAAGAAAGTATTCAGAGAAGTTCCCCTGAAGAAACACCAGAAGGCACCATACAGAATACTGATACAGAGAATTTACCTCAGCAAGGCATTAATCATACTGAGGATGGACGTTCAGACAGTGATCTTGGCACACATTTAGCTACAGAAAAGATTCTAAAACAAGAATTCTTGTCTGAAGATTTAAATGCTGAAGAAGATCCTGATCTGAAACAAGCAGAGGAAGAGCTATTGGAAGATGAGAATGCTGCCAGTGCAAAGTTGTCACAAGCAAGACTTGCACAAGGTAATAAACTAAATATTAGAAGTAAAAAACTTGAATTAGAAACACTAAGTGAAGCTACTTCAGGAATTGCTAGTCCTAATTCCAAAATTGATGAAACAGGAGAGGAAATAAATGCATTTTCTGAGGGAGCAAAAAACATGATCAGCGTGGAAGATGCAATTGAGGATGATGTACCAGTCAGTGATGATTCTGTTCCGGATGAAATGGAACATGTCAAGGAAGATGATGATGATGAGTCTTCTGAAGCTGAAGAACCATCAGCTATGGAAGAACATAATTTCAAATCTTCTGAAACAGAAGACAGTGATGACTTTAACCAAAGAAAAGAACCTCTCCCAGAGGCTGTTTCACAAAAAGATTCAAAGGAGATGGAAAATTTAGAGCGCACAAGAAACGATCACCAGCAGTCTGCACATCTCCCCAGCCCCGCTGATGTCTCAACCACAAATGACACTGTCATATCAGACTACAGTGAGTCTGTGAAACGACTCACAATATTGAGGGAATTCCTGGATGAAAAGCGGATAGCCCGTTTACAAAAGTATCTCGGGCTCCAGGAGGTGGTTAGAATAGAAGGCATGTTTCAGGACATGAAGATAGAGTTGGAGCTTGCTTGTAAAGCAAGTCATAATAATGAAGAAATAGAAAAAGCTTTGGACCAGATACTTGAATTTTCAGAATCTAGTATTATGGACGCTGTAGGAAAAGTTCTAGATTCCAGAGTGGCTGAAAATAAGGAGGAGGTGGTGAAAGAGATGGATTTGTATGATGAGGAGAGTGCACTGATGGATGATATTCAAGAATTAATATATTCTTTAAGGAGCAAATACTCATCTGCTAGTGAGAGTGTCCCACTTGCAGGTGTTTCAGAACCAGAACAGGAAGAGGACCAGCTCCATCGTGAAGGTAAGACGTTGAAATGTACACAGGATGGCTGTTTTAGAGAGTTTGAGAGAACTTTGTGTTCTGTGTTTGCAGTTAAAAAAAAAAAAAAAGTTAATGAATAGATGAAGTAGAAGTAAAGCCTCATCCCAAATGAAGTTATATAACCCTGAGAAGCTTTAAGGAGTTGAGGAAGCAGAATTGGAAGGGGTCCTGTGGAATCACTGGAATTTTGCTTACTTAAAATGCAATTTTTAAAAATGTTGAGTTTGCATGTCTGTTCTTATGGGCTGGGCTCTGCATAAGAAAGTAGAATCAGGGGATAGATTCGGCTAGAAGGAGCCACTCTGATCTCTTCCTTCCCCACCCTCCACAAAATAGGGATTCACATCTGTAGCATGGACTGCATTTTCTATATTGCCTAGAGAGCGTTACCCCCACCCCAGCTAGGACCTAATTCAAAGATGTGCAGTGACTAATACAAAATTTAGGCACTGAAAATGTATACCTAAAATCCCAGGTGTGACTATCATCATATTTTTGTACACACTCTTAAAAGTGAGCGCACAAATAGAAGTAGTACCAAAAGAATCAGTCTGCTATGAACTTGCCTTTTTTTTTCCTTCCTAATTAATGTGTAAAGTGGTTAAAGTATACTCTTAGCAGGTATACTCTTTTCATAGTAATAAGTTTTCAGTATGTAATTTCTGATAAAGTCATATCATCAACAGTGAAAAAAAATCTCCCTATCTGGTCAGTGGTTGCATAAATTCTGTATCAACAATTAACTTGATATCACTGAATTAAACTTGGTTAAGAATATTTCAGAAGCAACATACAAGCTGGTGCTAATAAGTGTCAGCAAAGCTTTGTCAAATGCAGTGTTTCCCTGGAGACAGCTGCTAGTAGGAAATAAATATCAATTCAGTGCTAAATTCTTTTTTTTTTTCTTCATAGATGTTTTCTTTGTAGATGCTGCAAAAGAAGCTGAAGATGACAGTGTTCCCTTCAGGCACTCAAATGCCATTGATGAGAGCAATCAGGTATTTCAGCACCTTGAAGATGAGGGGACAGATCTGCCCATGGAAGAGGATGAGCAAGGTGCTGCCTTCCCACCCGAGCAGGAAGAGGCCAGTCCCACGGATAGCGGAGATGCTCAGGAAGGAAATGATGAGGAAAGATTTCAGCCAGCAGATACTTCCTTTGGGTCACTTGATTCCAAACAAAGTACTAAGGATGATACTGTTGCAGGTAAGCTTTTGAAATTGTTGCTTTCTTCTTTTGCTTTTAAAGATGAGTACAGCTGACTTTCTTCTATGCAAATACTGAGGTTTCTCACTAAGGTTTTTATTATATGTACTATAACTCTCGCTTTTTTTCAGTAATCCAAGACAGTCTCTAGTGGCAGTATACTCTAGGCTATACTGATCTCAACATTTTTTTTTCCCACTATCTCTTTGTGCTAGAAAAGTTGTCTTGTGAGCATCATCATCATCAGAGTCCTGCGCTAGGGTGGTGGATTGTGTCTCCCAATGGCAGTGCACTTAGGAAGGAAGGCAGGGGAGGAACAGACTAGACGGATAGACTCCCTGCATCTTACAGAAGGGACCTATGCTGTAACAATTAGCATAAGAATCATAATCTGTCTCTTCTTGCTGTCTTTTTAACTTGTGACTCTGGAGTATATTTCTGCCAAAATAGTTTTCCTGCAAAGCTCTACTCAAGCAATTCTGTAGTTTCTGACTAAGGTCAGAAGAGAAAGAGGTTTGACTCAGTTCCTCCAAGGATAGAATTAAACATGGGCATCCTTCCTCTGGAGGTGCATGAGGTGAGCTGTGCTGAATGGTCACTATAATAGTGAAAGAGGGGAGCGTTCCTATCAGTGCCATTGTCTCCAGTTCTGCTTTGGTATGAAACTGGCTTTATCCTCCTGACTCGTACGTGGTCAGCTCTGAGCTTCTCCCCTTGAATAGGTTTCACCAGGGATTCAGACAAAGTTCAGGCATGTCTTGTTAGCCTGTGTATCCTACTGTTATATAGTACCTCTGCCGCCATGGTTAAGCATTTCTGAGCAAGTTTAAGTACTAGGGGAAACTTTATGCTGAATGTAAGGGTACTTACTAAATCTTAAATGGCCAGTGGGTTACCTGTGTGTGGTTAAGCAGTCAGTGGTTCTTCCTTCCTGGTAAGATCAGATTGCCTGTGGTTAAAGGATGTTTGCCAGCAATCCCAATGCCGCGTGCTGGAAGCGCTGGGGAGGAACCGGGGTGGGCGCGCCATTCCCAGCAGCAGGCTGCAGGAGCGGCCGTTTGCACCTGCTGCCGAGCGCTTGCGGGAAGGGGGGCAGCCTCAGCACGGGCAGGACGAGACGAGCGCGGGCTGATCGTCGCTCTCCCTCTGCCCGCAGGAGACGCCGGTCGGGGAGCGTTCCGCGAGG